GAATGTGGATAGAATATTAACTCAAATTTCTGCCCAACAAAGTCCGTAAAATATGCAGATGATAGTTGGTCCTTGGGTATTCGGTCCACAGGGCTGAGCATTTAAAAGCCCCAGATTGGTATAAGGTTGGACAGAATACGGAAAGCCTGCAAAAACAGCTGAATAAATTCTGGATATCATTGAGCTCCGTCTAGCCACGAGAAAATGTGAAGCGGGGGAGGGGGTGGCTTTCGTTATTTTGTCCTCCGTGCGCGCGTAAAGGGGAGACGATGAGACGGCGTGATCATTGACCAATCACAAAATGCTCCCCTACTTCAACTGCTTTTACTCGTAGCTAGACTACAAAAACATGCCAACACTTGCTGTTTTCTCATTTTTCTGACGATGGCGTCTTGTATGAAGCCGAAAGCTCCCAATTAAAACCATTTTTGTCCCAGTAATTTTCCTCTTTCTCCTTGTTGTTCAACTCTTGTATTTCTATACTCCTTTATCCAACGTATTTGTTAAGTTTAATTTTGAATACGTAGTAGCATTGACGAAGGCCGCCCCAAAACCGCACGAAAGAAAATCGGAACTCACGGCGGCACATTCCACAGCGATGAAGTATTGGCGATTGCAATGCTAAAACAACTACCAGAGTACAAAAACGCATTTATTCTTCGTACACGGGACATGAAAAAATTGGAGACTTGTAATATCTTTGTTGATGTGGGCACTGTCTTTGATGCGGCCTCTAATCGTTTCGACCATCATCAGCCGTAATTCATAACACCCTTTCTCCATTTCTGTACAAATCTATTTTTTTGATCATTTTAGCTTACCATAAAGGATTTTCATCCTAATTTGGAACCCGCCATGAAATTGAGCAGTGCGGGTCTCATTTATGCACACTTTGGTAAAAGATTTATTACCGAGATTGCTCGGAATTTGAATTCCGATGAGGACCTGGAAGCGGTATTTAAACGGGTATGCTACCTGCACCTCAGATCTTTCGAAAGCCTAGCTATACAAGTGTCTCATTAGTGAAGTGGATGCAATCGACAATGGTATGACAATTTCAGAAATTGCACCAAAGTAAACTACTTTATTGTTATTAATGGAATCAGCTATTGTATTATAACTGGAATAAGTGATCGAGTGAAAGTTCTTAATCCAAGCTGGATTTGAAAGGAAAATGAAATGGTAAGTGGTCTTTGACGCTTGAACCTAAACAATTCTCTCCTTTTTTATCATCATCATCATGATCAACACCATCCTCTTCATATTAGATTTCGGCTGATCAAGTAGGCAGTTTTGCAGCTTGCCTCTAATTCCTTAAACTTTATAATTTAGGCCGTCATAAATCCAACTGTTTTACACTGTTTTGACACCCAAATAAGTTCGGTATCGTACCGTTTGTGCCCTGAAACGTTTCAAGAAACACTTTTAATCATCCTTTTTCGTGGGTTGTCTTGGTCAATGTAAGCTCTGAGTCATTAAGCCCACCACGGGGTGCTTGGTTTATAAGGAAAAACCATACCGCTGCAATTATCAGGCCCAGTCCTTGTGGGAAGGAAAAGTGGGAGGAATAATTTATATTATACATAAGCAGTGGAGAAGGAGGTAGGTGGAAGTTGACGATCGGGCGATTGC